ATGCTCCAAGTGCCTTCAACCCTACAGGTTATAGTGTGCTATCCCCACAGTCATTTTGAGCCAATTCTCACACAGATATTCTCTATTTGATGATTTAAGGAGGCTGTGAATATGATCGACTGGTGCAAGTCGCTTTGAAATTTTAGGTCTAGTTTTCAAGAAAATAAGCGGTAAACGATCTCTAAAGGCCGCTTTAAACTAATTTATCATTTTTGAAACCTTTAATCCTTTCCTGATATTGCGTGAAAAGTGCTTGCAGATCGAGTTATTCAAGACGAAGTTGTAGCCGTTTTAATACAGCTAGGTGTGCCAGATCAAAACTACCCACAGCCTCCTTAACTTTTTGCAAGGTAACTAGGTTGACGTCATGTATAATTTGGTGATTTCTATATTGAATATCTCGGCAATGAAAAGAGATATCAAAGAAAAGTAAAGGCCGTTCTTTATCTATTTGATAAGGGCTTTCAAATCAGGAAGAGAACCTGTAAGCTTGATAGGCACTTAAATTGGTTAGTGGTAAGAGTACCATAATAACAATAGTTACAAGTTGTCAAAAACATGCCCAAAAGAGAAAAAATTTTTGGAAGTGTTTACTATATGTTGGCATGCAGCACATTGAATTTTACTGAAATGGTGAAATTTTTGCTGACCTGACATCCGAAAAGGCATCAATATCTTTTTATTTGTATCTGGATGGATAATGGCCTGAAATAATAAAAAAATTACAAGATGTATTAGCTGTGTGTAGTCCAACCAGTCAGCTGTTTCACCACCGCACAGCCTGGGGGGACCCCATCCTGGTTCAGGGTTATTGGCAGGGTTTGCTGTGTGGCAGCTTTGTCATTATGTTGTTCTTTGGGCAAGCGTTCGGAAAAACATTTCCCCTCCACCCACCTCTCAACTTGGAAGAACTAAGGGTGTGATGGTAAGTATCTCCACCTCTTAAGGTGTAACAGGTACCAGGTGGGTGGTGGACTGTGGCCCAGTTGCCATGGTCACCTCTGCCAATGGGCTGGTTAGGTGCGACCACTCCTTTATACCCTGGCCCCTAAGGCCAAGCTTATCACTACGATGAGTTTTAATAGCAGTCTTATAATACATATTAAAGATATGAATCAAGTCAGTCAGTGGGTGAGTTGGACAGTCACAGTCAGTCATTAGAAAGTAGAGACAAAGTCAGTCTTATTGCCCATGGGTCACTGCCAGTAAATCAATCAGTCATTCAGGTAATCAGTTAGTCTGTCAATCAGCCAGWTGGTAGTCTGATTGGTCATTAAAAAAATAAATCAACTTTGTTTAAAAAGGATAACACTAGACACTAATTCAACTGATAAACTGGTGGATAAGGGATGGGGCTGCCATTAATTTGGTCATCCAAGCCATCTAGCCATTTGCAGATGCAATTTCAAAGGCAGCACCTTCTCCTCAGCTATCTTATCATCAGCTAACCCTGAGTGCAGGTCGGACCAGTCAGTCGGGCGGTTAGTCTTTCAGTAATCTTCTAAAATACATTTATACTCTGATGATAAAGAAAATTAACAGATGGCAACATACCTCCTTGATTCTTTTTGCTTCCCAAAGCTACAGTATGATGATAAATATCAAAATTAGGATGAAATCATAATTATTTGAATGAGCATCATATTACAAGATAAATATAAAAATATAAGAGGATACTTTTCGTGGAATTAAGTAGGGAAGAAGRTCAATGGGATTCAGAAAATTAATTATCTTAGTGCACTACAACAGACTATTTTAATAGACCTTTTTCGAGTTCCAAATCACCGCTGTGTTTCTTGAATACAGACTCATTTACTCAGGCTTAGCCTCCATTTTGTGTAGAATATTCATGTGTCTCAGTCAAGGTCCGTCGAATTTCAAAGTGTTTGTATTGTTGGAGTTGTGCATCCTTTACTTTACCGTTGATATTTGTGAAAAATTAAACACTGATGCGAGGCTAACCCTGAGTAAATGAGTCTGTAATCAAGAAACACAGCGGTAATTTGGAACTCGAAAAGGGTCTATTGTAATGTGGTTGTCAGATGGTGCTTGGTGTATTGTACCAGGTACCAGCATGATGGGAAGGGCAGTTGTGGCAAAGGGGGGAAGGAGGGGGGTGGGGGTCTACAGATGAGCCAGCTCCCCACCAATCTAATGCATAATCTAAACCTACTAATGGTCTATTACAGATCCTGTGCTCTAATTGGCTGAGCTATGTGTGGTCTATAGTCTATAAGAGACACCCACTAATATCTAGTAGTGAAAAAAATGCTGGTTTTGAGAACCAAATCACCTAATTTCAAATTTATCTGTGTCCATTTATTTCACTGATCAATAGGTTGTCAATAATGAGTCAATAATGCATGAGGCTAATGACTCTGACTGGTTTCTTTATAACAGTTATGTGATTTTTCCTGCAAATGGCCTATATATTTCCCACATGYTGCTGTGATGTGTTCCTTGGTTAGGGAGATATGAATACCAAATRAATTTACTGTTTCTTTGCTATGTTATGCTTGTTGATAACAGAAACTGTACCTCTTTATCTGTGACATTTTTATTGTGAAGTCCTTTTTGGAAATCATTCAGCAGTTGAATGGAATGTTGCAGTTTGGACTGAAATGAGATAAAAAAATCATTACTAAAGATAGATTAAATAATCGATTGTTTATTTATGTATTTAAATGATAAATTGTGTAAAGATTAGAGTATACAAAGCAGTGATGAAATGCTAATGGTACTGCCAAGGGAAGCAACCCAAAAGTTTGGATAAAATTGGAAATTTTCCACCAAAGTTTCCTTCCATGGATTTTGCARAATTTTCGTGCCAAAACATTTGTTTTGCCTTCAAGCTTTGTTACTTTAGCAGAAGCTAGTCTTGCTAACCCCCTAACTCTATATTTTAGTCAATTTGCGCACTTGATCAYATATTGGCATGTTAACTGCACAATATTAAGGAAAAAAATATTATCATTATTATTAATTTTTCAGTTTAAAATGGCTTAAAAAGCAATGATTTTTTGGTTAGAGAGAAGGTACTAAGTGGCTGTCTAAGGGAACTACACTTCATCTCCCCCCACTACACCCCCCCACAACACCCCCTTACTCCTCTTAGTCGTCCCAAATCAAGGATCCAAATTTCACCAGAAATGAAGTTTCAAAATGTTTTGTTCCACGTTACATTTCAAGTCCAATATGCATTATGGGGGATGTGAATGCAATCAGTGAATTGCTACAAGAATATCAAAAACTTTTTCTGCACATTTTAATTTTCTGGCATATTTTCTTCGATGCTGACATCATTTGCATATGAATTAYGAGATACATCTCTTGGTAAAAAAACATCCAACATGCAACAAAATCTTCACCTTTTTTTTGTCTTACTTTAAACATTACATATGTATCATATCATTACCTCTTTAGTAAAGAGAGATCGAGGATCTGTCACCTCAAAACATCGCAGTAGTCTTCCACTGTATGTTTTCTATTAGTATGCAAGCACATGTTAAAAACATTCATTTTTACCAGAGAGAGGGGAGGGTGATGTGGTTGGTTTAATGATTTAATGATTTAAAAGCCCAATAGCCCAATAGCCCAATAGCCCAATAGCCCAATAGCCCAATAGCCCAATAGCATAACAGCC